TTTTTTTTTTTTTTTTTTAGTACTGGGGATTGAACTCTGGTCCTTGTGCTTGCAAGGCAGGCCACCGAACCGCTGAGCTAAATCCTTGCCTCTAGCTGTTCTTTTCTTAACTGGTTTAAGTTAGCTTTAGAGATAAAGAGAGGAAGAAAAAGTAGGGAAGAAAGAAAGAAAATTTGGAAAAAGAGTTCTCAATGTAAGGGGAAAATATGGTATTATTTTCATTTTGTGTAGGAAAGTAAGACTCAGAGAGATTTGTGCCTTTATCAAGTATGAATTATTTTTTTCAGTACTGGGGATTAAACCTGGGCTCTGTGCATATTAGGCAAGCACTCTAGTGCTGAACTACATCTCTAGGTCTGTTTATTTTTATTTTATTTTAATTTATTATTATTGTTATTTTTATTATTTTGATTTTTTTTGAGACAAGTTCTCAACTATAATTCAGGCAGGCCTTGAACTTACTATGTAGCCTACGCTGGCCTCAAACTCCTGGTGATCTTCTTGTCTCAGCCTCCTGGGTGCTAGGATTATAGATATGTATACTACCATACTTGTTTTTTGTTTTTTTTTTTATTTTTGAGACAGGGTCTTGCTAAGTTACCGAGGCTGGCTTCAAACTTCCAATCCTCCTGCCTCAGTCTTCTGTGTAGCTGAGATTACAGGTGTCCTCCACTGCAACCCAGCTAGATTGTTGTTTTTAAGACCACAAACTATCATAGTGGCATATGCCTATAATCATAGTGCTGTGGTAGGCTGAGGCAGGAGGATTGAAAATTTAAGCTTAGCCTACATGTCTTATCCAGACCCTGTTTTAAAAAGAAAGAAGTAAAGACCTGGGGATGTAGCTCAATGTGAAAGCCCCAGTACCTCAAAACCTAAAGAAAGAAAAGGAAGACCTTAATTTAAGGTTGTCTGAGAGTTGTGTTTTTTTTTGTTTTGTTTTTTTTTGGTTTTTTTTTTTTGGTTTTTTGAGACAGGGTCTCACTGTATAGTTGAGACTGACCTGGAACTCACTATGTAGCCCAGGCTGGTCTCGAACTCACAGCGATCCTCCTGCCTCAGCCTCCCGAGTGGTGGGATTACAGGCATGTGCCACCACGCCCAGCTGAGAGTATTTTTTTTTAATTTTGGATTTTTAGTACACTACCATTTCATATTCTACACTACACTAGGCAATAGTAATAAAGCAGTACAAGAAAAGAGTGTTTTGTGGCCAAGTAAGTTTGAGAGACTTTAAATATAACCTTATCTAGGAGATTTACAGGGGTCATTAACTTATTCAAGGCTCTGAAAAGTTTTACCAAAGGAAACTTTTTTCTTCATTATAGAAGTAACCATTGTCTTAAGTATGGGACGTATTATTCCTACCATATCTATATATTTTGCTATAGATGCTTCTATCCTTAATCAGTCTGCAATAGAGCTTTATATCTCTTTAGATTTTATATAAGTGGGAAAGTATCTTACATATCCTCTGCAATTTGCTCTTCTCTGCTTAACATTATACTTCACATTGTTATACATAGTTCTTACTTATTTTTTAAACTGCTCTCTCTATATATGGAGAGTCACTTTTTGTTTATCCTTTTTAAAACAAAAGATTGAGGGCCAGGGATTTAGCTCAGTGGTTCTGCTGCCTACTTGCAAGCACAAAGTCCCAAGTTCAATCCTTGGTACCAAAATAAAAAAAGGTAGAAACCTGAGTTTGAGTTTGCTTAATTTGTCATTGCCCAAACTAACTTCAGCTAGGGTATTTTTTCCCTGGCACTCCCTTAACCTCTTTATGGATTTGAAAACATTTTCCGTAGACTGGCTCCCTGTGTCAGTCAGTAGAGGAAAAGGAATTTTGGCAAGAGAACGTTTGACTTGTACTTTTGTTATTCAAAACATTATTTTCATCATTCCATATAATTTTCTAATGTGTTAAGTTAAACCAGTGATTTTTCAAACACTGGTTTGCCAGAATGTAAATCAACACACTGTTTCCTTCATTGAGAAAGACTGTGTGGTGTTGTTTGGGTCCCATTGAGAAAGGCTTGTGTTTGAGAATGATTTAGCTTAGGAAGCAAAAGGCTCTGGATTTGTTCCCCAGCACTGCAAAAAAGGAGAAAGATTTAGCTGATATATAAACAATGAATATAGCCATGTACCTTTTGCTCAACTTTTAAAAACATTAATATTTTGCCACATTTGCTTTAGTTTTTCATAAGATGTAAGATATTAGAGATTTACTAAAGTCCCTTGACAACTCTGTTCTGATGAATTCTCCCTCACTTCTCCCAGAGTTACCACTGTCCTGAAGAGAGGTGCTCACTTACAGGGTACACACACCATCAACCTCCTTCATTGCTTGCACAGTGTTCGTCAGTGGAATTATACCAGTTTACACACCCCAGCATACATGTATAGCTCTGCTGTTGTTGTTGTTACTGAAAATGAACCCAGAGCCTCATGCATGCTAAGTAGGCTCCTACTATGGAGCTATACGCTTAACCCATAATTTAACTTCTGTTTGTATTATTATCCAACTTGCTGTCTCAGCCTCAGTTTCCTAGCCAGTACTGGTCTGTACTAATAAGTCTGGTCTGTACTCTAGTACTGGTCTGTAATAATAAGGAAACCTGCCTAGGACCATTGGGGTTCTCAATGAAGCTAAGAGCTGAGATGCTTTCAAGGGAGCTGTTTGTGGTATATATAAAGTATTCTCCATACACAGTCATTACCTCAGGTCTTCCTATATTCCTGCTCATATTCCCTGGGTCTTCCTCCTGATGCCATCTTGTTCTGGTTATTATTCATAGGTAGGCATGGTGGTATACGCCTGTATTCCCTGCTACTTGGGAGAATGAGGCAGGAAGATCACAAGTTTGAATCCTACCTGGGTAATTTAGTGAGACCCTGTCTCAAAAAAAAAAAAAAAAGGTACAAAGGATTGAGGATGTTGGTCAGCGTGCCCCTGGGTTCGATCCCCATTACAGCCCCCAAAAAGCTATCATTTGGCAGAGACTTTCTGCTTTCCCTCAGTAATGTGCAGCCTCTAGACCCAGACCCCATCCTCCTTATGTTAGGTTCTTACTCCCAGCTCTTTCTTCTTCGATCTCTTTCTCTCTCTCTCTTTTTCTTTTTTGTACCAGGGATCAAACTTGGGTCCTTGTGCTTATCAGGCAGGCAGCAGAACCACTGAGCTAAATCCCCAGCCACAATCATACACATCTCTTAATTCATGTTCCCCTTCACGAACTGTGGGGCTATGCCCAGGTGAGTATATCCTCCTAGACTTGGACTGACTTTGTAAGACCTCTGTTCTCTCTGCTTTCCAGCTTTGTCTCAGTACAAAAACTGAGGAGCCACCATCATCCATGCTGTAGCCACCTGTCCTGGAGCAGTAGTGCATATGAGACTTGGGCCCAGGAGGCTGGACCAAATGGGAACCCTCTGCCTCAGGAGCAGTTGTTACTTTTAGGGACACTAACAGACCTATCACAAGACTTGAAACAGGAATGCAGGGATGGAAACCTCTTTGTGAAAGATAACACTGGAATCCTGGGCTGTGAGGTAAGTAGGGAGGAACAGTCAGATTCTAACAGGAGTGGTGTTTAGGGAACAAGGCAGCTAGGATTCTGAAGGAACAAATACAGGAGGGTGGATTGGATGCTAGGACCCTGGTAACCATCTTCTTGGTTTTTTTCTAGCTCATAGATTTGGACCTTTCTTGGTTGGGCCATCTCTTCTTGTTCCCCAGTTGGAGTTACCTCCCTCCTGCCAAGTGGAATTCCTCAGGGGAAGGGCACTTGGAGATCTGGGGTGCCCCTGTGCCAGTGTTTCCTTTGGCCACGAGTCCTGACCCTCTCACACCTATTCCTGTCCTGTACCCAGAGATTGCATCCCATGTGCTCAGTCACAGGTAACTGTTTCCTTTCTAGGGGAGATGGGAGCACTGTCAAACATGGAAGATGATAGTAGTTCAGTGGAGGGGAAAGAAAGGTTTGATAGTAATATAGATGGAATATTCCAAATTCCAAAGGATCAGTGGGCCTTTGAACATCAAGAATGTTCAGAAGAGCTGGACATGGTGTTATACACCTGTAATCACAGCACTCTGGGATATTGAGGCAGGAGAATCCCTAGAAGTTTGAAGCCTGCCTGGGCAATATAGCAATTTAGATCCAGTTTCAAAATAAAAACTGAAAAAGGGCTAGAGCTGTAGGGATATAGCTTAATGTGTAAACCCTGAGTTCAATCCCCAGTACCACCACATAAAAAGATTATTAAGAGAAGTAAAACACTTGTGGGTTTTTTTGTTGTTGTTTTTTGTTTTTTGTTTTTTTGGTACCGGAGATCGAACTTGGGACCTCATGCTTCTGAGGCAGGCAGTGGATTCCCCGGCCTTTGTTTTTTCTTTTCTTTTTTTTCCTGTACTGTGTATTGAACTCAGAACAGGTCACTGAGCTACATCACCAGCTCTGCTTTTTTTAACCCGGGCCCTGCCAGGTTGTTCTTTACATTGGAAGGGAAGACATTTGTAGAGAAAAAAGAAAGATGACATCTTCCCCCTCCTCTGCCTTCTTAGAAACAAACTCAGAGAGGTGCAGTCAAATCTAGCTGGGAAGCTGGTCCGGTTGAGTCCTCTGGTAAGAAGTCAGCAGAAGACATACTTTGTCCTGTCTCTTGGTGAATCACCCCAAGCTGTTGGCCAGGCGGTCAGCCAGGTGCCCATCATTGTGCAGGTAAGGGTCAAGGTCAATTCACGGGCATGCAGGTGTGAGGCAGTGCTGAACTCGTAATGGGAACAATAACTTCTTAAAGGAACTGAGTAGGGAAGGAGGGCAGCTGAGTTATTTTTGGGAACAGTGCTGTGCAGGGAAAATCCCAGGCAATATTACTGTCTTTGTATGGAGATGGGGAATAGACTTTGCTGCTGTGCAATTCATTTGAGGCAATAGCTTTTGCATCCTCTGACATTTTTAAAAACTGCCAGGGTGACTTACTTTTCCCCTGTGTTAGAAGAATGGTCAAACAAATTATCTTAACTCAAGTAAGACATTGATTAAATGCATTTTTTAAAAATGTGGCACTAGTATGTACTTTTGTTTTTGTTTTTTGTTTTTTGGTGGGTTTTTTTGGTGTTGGGATTGAACCCAGTGCCTTGCACCTGCATGCTTTATCACTAAGCTACACTCACAGCAGTGTAGGGATGCTCTTGGTATGTATATGGGCTGCTGAAGAGGCATGTTGGAGACTTTTTGTTGCTCCAGATGACCCCAGTGAATCGGAGCTGAGGTTATCTCTTGAAATTGAAGGGCTGGACCTTGAAAAGTGTGGAAAGGTTTAGGGTAACTGCTGTGTTAATAGGGGATAAGAGATTGCCAAGCACCGATGGAAGCCCAGCAGGAGCATCTGTGTTTGGCTCTGGAATGCCATGGGTCTGTCTTCCTCAAATGAGGTTTCTGCCTTAGAAAGGAATTGAGACAGAGCTGTATAATTTGATATTGGTACACTCAAGGGTCAAGGGCATAAAGGGCCAGATTCAGGAGCTAGGCATTCAGATCCTGGGATCAGATAGGGAAAAGGAAGAACCTCAGCATCTGAATGAAGAAGAAGGGGCTGAAATACTGGGGGTCCTCCTGGGCGTTGAAGGAGAATGGAGGGAGAGATGGAGAGTGAAAGCACCCACAATCCTTCATTTGTTTGCTCAGTAAGACCATTGTAAATGACTTGTTTTGTCCTGTGCAGTGAGTTTTCAGTAAGGTTTTAGCAATACCTTATGATGAGTTGTGATATCAAAGAACTAACTGGTGGGACTCAGCTGTTTCAGAGTAGAAACAGAGCTCTGGAAAGTTGAGCACAGATAACTGAAGTTAAAGTTTCTTGAGTTATCAGTGTGAGGGTTTTGTTGTTGTCATTATTCTCGGTTTTAATCCCAGGGCCTACTTCATACTGGGCACCCTTTCTACTACTGAGCAATACTCCAGCCCCAGGATATACCTCAGTGGAACTATGCCTGCCTTGCAAGAACAGGGTCCTGAGTTTGATCCCCGGTATGGGGAAAAAAAAAAAAAAAAATCTAATACTCCAGCTCCTATCAGATTGCTTTGAAGCCCCTGAGAAAGGTAGCAGTGCTTTTTATGCCTGTGGGAAGGATACTTCAGAAGATTGTTATGTTTATGAATCATCTTATCCATGAAACATTTTTCTTCAGGCTTAAATTTTTTCAGTGATTGTCCTACTGTCTCCTCCAGTTCATGTGATGCCTCCTTGGCATTTCTGGGCTTCTTCCCTTATTTTAGCTCTCCCAATTTGTTTCCTGCGACTCCCAGCAACATTTACTCTTCTCTGCCATTGCCAGTGTTTTCATTGCCCCCAAGCCATACCTGGTTTATTCTGAATTCTGAGCATTTTTGTGCTGCTGCCTTCTCCTTGAGTCATCCTTCCCTGTCCTCCCCTCTTGGACAAACAGACACAGATTGAGCAACCCTAATCAGAAATTCAAAATGCTCCAAAATCTGAAACTTTTTGAGTGCTCTAATGATGTCACAAGTGAAAAATTGCACACCTGACCTTATATGTTGGGTCAAAGTTAAAATGCAAGCACACTAAAAATACTGTTTAAAATTACCTTCATAGTCAGATTGTGGTAATATATGCCTGTAATCCCAGTACAAGTGGGTACATTTGTATCCAAACATATTGATGACATAGATGAATACTGTTTGTATGTTGTGAGGTGGGAGATGAGAAGTGTTAAAAAGGGCATAAATTGTCAGGCGTGGTGGCTCACGCCTGTAATCCCAGCACTCTGGGAGGCTGAGGCAGGAGGATCGCTGTGCTTTTGAGACCAGCCTGAGCTACATAGTGAGACCTTGTCTCAAAAAACCAAAAAAAAAAAAAGGGCTGGGGATTTAGCTCAGTGGTTCTGGTGCCTGCCTCGAAGGCAGAAGGACCCAAGTTCAATCCCTGGTGCCAAAACCAAACAAAAAAACAAACAAAAAACAAAAGGGGGGGGCATAAATGGGCTGGGGATTTAGCTCAGTGATTTCCGCCGCCACCTGCCTCACAAGCATAAGGACCTGAGTTCAATTCCCAGTACCAAAAATGGGGGGCATAATTTTCTCAATGGAATATTTGTATATTTTAAAGGAAATTTTAACAATGATTTATATCTTGAGGAAAGAATTAGGAAATATTTAATATCTCCAGTGAGAAAGCAGAAATCCTGAAAGTCTGTGGTTTAAGATTTAATTGGCAAGAGCCAGGGATATAGCTCAGTGGTGCCACACCAGCCTGGCAAGGGCAAGGTTGCAAGGTCCTGAGTTCAATCCCCAGTACCAAAGAAAAGAAAGAAAAAGAAAATTGGCAAACAGAGATGAAGAGACAGGAAAAACTCATGAGGAATAAGTCTTGAGGTCAAATTGTGATGAGAAGTGACTCTGGCAGAGGGGTAGCATCATAGGAAACATCTTATGCACTATATTGGCCACCTCCACATATGGTAGATCCCTGCCCAGCTGGTGTGGCACCGAGCCCTTCGGCCTGGTGAGGACTATGTGCTGACAGGACTTCGAGTATACAGGATCCACGGTCAACATTACTGTGCTTGGACAACCACTCCCTCTTCGAATCTGATGCTGCTAAATCCAGAATGTGTGCAAAAGCTGGAGCTGGCAGGACCCTTCTTGGAAGCTGAAACCAAACCATTCCCCATGCCCAGCAACTCTCCAGACAGGAAGAAGCAAAAAGGTCTTTTCCGGAATTCCACACTCTTACATTACAAGGTGAGCCTAAGGAAGAGATCCTAGAGTTTGCAGGAAATGGGAATCTCCAGTGAGGAAGGAGGTGGTAGTGACCAGCTGGACCTCTGGCCTCTTTGCAGGGAACAGTCACTGGCGTGTTGAATGAGCCTGCTGGCCTCTATGAGTTGGACGGGCAGCTGGAACTCTGCCTTGCATACCAGCAGTTCCATGGCCTCAGGCAGTTGATGCGACCTGGGGTCTGTCTGGAGGTATGTAAGAAGTCAGGCTGATGACAAGGGACCCTCTCAGCAGTCTGCTCACTTCATGGGCTGCTCTTTTTTTATGGTAGGTGGGAACTTCTTTAGAAAAATATAAAATAATAAGGGATATGTTGGAAAACATGCTTTGTTTGTTTGTTTGTTTGGTGTTACTGAGGATTATACCCAGGACCTTTGCATTGAGATACATCCCCAGCTCTTTTTTATTTTGAGACAGGGTCTCACTAAGTCACTAAGTTTCCAACAATGAGCTTGAACTTGAAATCCTGCCTTAGCTTCCGAGAGTGCCAGGATTACAGGCATGTGCTACCATACCTGGCTTGGAGTGCTTTTTGTACAAATAATTTGGGCAAGAGTTTACAAAGGAGAGCAGTAGTTTTGCTGAAGCACAGGAGGGCACCTGGGCACAGGGGACACAGTCTATGAGGAGGGTTTGAGGCTAAAGCATCCCTTTCACAGAGGTCCTTTTAAGCTGTGGAGGAGTTGGCTAAAGCACAGGTATAGGCCAGGAGAATCTCAGGCAGCCTGGTGAGAAGGCAGAGCCACCCATATCCAGCCAGGAGCCACCAGGTCCTCAGAAAGACTGACTAGAGCTCATGGGAGATGACGCTGATCTCAGGGAGTGGGTTGCTTTAAGTGAGACATGAAGTGTGGAAGGGGACAAAAGCCAGCATAGGGGAACTTGTATTTCTTTCTTTTGAAACAGGCAGCAGGAACAGTCTAGGGTCATTGAGGTGGTGGCCTCACCTCTGTTTTAACACTTTTTCTTGTTTTCCTGCAGCTCCAGGATGTTCACCTTTTCCAGTCAGTGGGTGGAGGGACAACAAGGCCAGTGCTAGCACCCTGCCTCCGTGGTGCCATTCTGCTTCGGAGCTTTTCTTGTCAGAAACCTGGGACTCAGTCATCCCATCAAGTTCATGGGGCCTCCTTGTATGAACAGCTGATATGGAAACATCAGTTAGGACTTCCTCTCTACCTGTGGGCTACCAGGGCCCTGGTGGAGCTGACCTGCAAGTGAGGAGCATGAGGCTTTGGGGTAGGGAGGTGGTGCAAGTAGGACACTTTCTCTGTCAGGGAAGCAGGTTCTTGGAAGGGACAGGGACTTCGGGGGAAGTAATTGTGCTGCTTTTCTTGGCCAAGGCTGTGTCCCCATGTACTGAGACACCGTCAGTTCCTGCAGCATTCTTCTGAGAATCCCAGCTTGGGACTGCAACTCCTGGCTCCTGCCCTGGATGTTCTAGTTCCACCAAGCAGCACCTTTCGGAACGCACACAATGAGGTCCTTGAAGAACCGCATCATTGTCCCCTCCAGAAAGTATGAGAATGCAAGGGAAAGTGGGTAGCAGAACTGATGTACCAGAGGACACCAGGGCACAGAGGACACGGTCTGATTTCTCCTCTCTCCTTGACAGTATGCTCGGCTGCAGACTCCCTTCTCTTTCCCCACTCTGGCCATGCTGGCAGAGGAAGGGCAGCATAAGGCTTGGGCCTCCTTTGACCCAAAAGCCCTTCTGCCCCACCCAGAGGCTGCCTACCTAACCAGCTGCCAGCTCAATAAGCGCCTGGCCTGGTCTTGGTTCTGTCTGCGACCCTCTACTTTCCAACCAGTCCAGGTAAGAAGCTTGGAAACTTTCTCTTTTTGCCATCCTCATTGCCACTACTCTAGACCAGGTTACTATCATTTTTTTGGTCATTTTAACTATAACAGCTTTCCAACCAGACTGCTCCAACTACTTTTGGTCTCCACTAATCTATTCTCCCTGCAGCAACTAGAAAGAGTGCAGTAAAAATGTAGATTGGATTACAGAATTCTTTTCTTTAAACCTTTTCATGGCTCGCGCAGTGCACACATAATAAAACCAAACTCATGTCCTATAAGGTCCTGAGTAGTCTCGTCTCTAACTCCAATCGTGCACTGTATTTCTTGCTACTAAAAGTATGAATGTTTTTGTGTTTTTTTCTATCCATCTTTCTTGAGAAGAAGCCCTTTGTGATCAGAGACACATCTTTTTTGTTTACTTTGGACTTTTAAAAAAATTTTTTTTGGTGCCAGGGATTGAACTCAGGACCTTGTCCTTTGCAAGACAGGCAGCAGAACCATTGAGCTAAATCCCTGGTCCTTTTTTGTTTACTTTGTATGCTCACATTTAACATGGCTCTGATGCTCATTGTCGGTTTAATTAATAGCTGGTGGCGCACACCTATAATCCTGGCACTCTGAAAGAATGAGGCAGGATTGTATGTTCAAGCCCAGCCTGGATAACTTCACAACTTAGTGAGACCCTTCTCAAAATAGAAAATAAAAAAAGACTGGTGATGTAGCTTTGTGTGAAGGCTCTGGGTGCTATCCCCAGTACCAGGAAAAATAAATAGTTAATTCCTGGCCTTCTTCCTATATGTTGGTTTGGTTTGGTTTGGTTTTTTATTTTTTTGAGATAAGATCTTTGTAGTTCAGGATGGGCTTAAACACACTATGTAACCGAGGCTGTCCTTGAATGTGTGGCGATCCTCCTGCCTCAGCCTTCCAAGTCCTGGGGTTAAGATGCGTGCCACCATGCCTGGCTCTTCCTACAGGTTTTACTTGGAGTTCTGGTAGCTTCATCTCGTAAAGGTTGTCTGCAACTTAGGGACCAGAGTGGCTCCCTGTCCTGCCTGCTCCTGGCCAAGGACTCTCAGCCTGTCACTGACCCTCGGCTCATAGGTATGGATGGAGTTCAGAGGTGGAAATATAGTGCTGGTTGGGTAGAGGTTTTTAGAACTGAGTATGAGGGAATGGCCACGAGGAAACATTTGCTGGGATTTACTATAGATGCTGAAGTGACACATGTTGATCAACAACTTTGGTGAGAAGTTTAGGAAACGGGTATGGCAGGTAGAAAGAGCCAGCAGACCCTTAACCAGAACTACAGTTCCCAACATCCCTTTCTCCCCCTGTAACTCCTAACATGCATACCAGGATTACAACTCCAATTTCTTGCATTCTTGGTTTGGAAGAGCAATGGTCTTATTTGGTTTATTAGGATTTGTGGACAGGAAAACCTTAGAGAGGAGAATTGCTGAAAATTAGGAGCAGGCCTTTTAGGCCTTTGTGCCAAAGTTGATTCAAAGCCCTTCAGCCTAGGAAGGCAGGGACGGGATTATAATGCCGATGGAATAGTTTCTCCTTGATAGTATTGCTTCATGGGAGGTGAGTGGTCAGATGTGGAGGAAATCAGCTCTATCCTTCAAAATCTGCAGGGTGTTCTTCCTCACTGCCCACCCCGCAGTTCTCTCTTGCCAAAATAGAGAACTTTCTTTCTCTAGGCTGCCTGGTGCGGGCTGAGAGATTCCAGTTGGTCATAGAGAGGAATGTCAAAAGCAACTTTCCTTCCTGGAAGGAGCTGGGCATGGGAGACTTCATCCAGAAGCGACAAGCCAGGTCAGCTTCTAAGGGTGGAGGCTGTCCTGAATTTCAGTAGGAGAATGCTGGCACCCAAAACTCACAGTACCTACATCACCAAGAGATCTGTTCCTGTCTCTCCAACAGAGTCTATGTCCAGTTCTTTCTTGCTGACTCCTTGATCCTGCCTGTGCCCAGATCTGCACTTCATTCACCCACTCCCTCAGCACCTCCTCAGACAGAGCCCACCTGCCCAGAGGGACCCCATGTAGGACAGAGCCGGCTATTCTTGCTGTCCCACAAGGAGACCCTCATGAAGCTGAGTTTTTGTGCCTCTTCAAGAGCCAGCGCTGAGGTGCTCAAGCCCACCTTCAGTTTCCAGGTGTCAGGGATCTGGCTTGGGGGCACCCAGAGGAAAGAGGGGACTGGATGGGGCCCATCTGAGCCCCTGAAAGATGAGAACAAGGATCAGAAGGTAAAGTGGGGCTCCTGGCACTAGGGCCTGACTCCCCATGCCGAAGCTCTGGGCTAGGGCACAACACCCTTCTTTCCTTCCTTACAGGTTCTCCTCCTCTTCCTTGGCTCTTCAGTCCGCTGGTTTGCATTCTTGCACCCAGGGCAAGTGTACCGACTTGTCATGCCTCACTCTGTGAGTGCCCCAGCTCCTCCTCCCCTTCCCCAGAAAGCTGTGTTGGGTTGGAATCTGGAGAAGGCATTCCAGTTCTGGTCCCTCCAGGTCTCCTAAAGAGGCTAGGCCTGTCTGTGTTGAGATTTCTTCAACAGGCTGCAGAAAGAATAATACTGGAAGATTTTGTGACCCTCCCTCTGGCCTGGCACACTCAGAGGCAGTTGTCTTCCCATTTTCTGGCAGACACCAATGTTGTTTGAGGCAGAGGGTTCATCCTGCACACCTCAGCGTCCTCTGGAATTGGCTGGCTGTGTATCCTGCCTCACTGTCCAGGACGAATGGACCCTGGAACTTGAGAGCTCCCAGTATGTGCCAGAAGAGCTCAGTATACACAGGACACTACCTGAGTCCTCCCTGCCCAACCTGCTCAGTGGAAAGTAAGTATCTACCAGCCCCTCCAATTAATTTGGGCACACTGCCTTCTCTGCACAGGTTGGGTATGGTGAGTAGTCTGTTCTGCTACAATATGCATCTCCCTTTTTCTTTTTCTTTCTGTGTTGCCCAGGCTGGCCTGAAACTCCTGGACTTGAACAGTCCTATCTCATTCTCCCTACTAGCCTATACTATGGGCTCATACCATTGTGCCTGAGCAAGATGTTCCTTTAACACTATTTAGCTGTAGAGGAATGATGTCAGTGCAAGAAAGAAGTTATGGTTCCTGTTCTCCCCCACACCCTGTTTGCAAATGGCCACAAGGAAGCATTCTCACCCTTAAGGAAAAGTTTTAACAATGAAAGAAAGTAGGAGAAACATGAGAAAATATAGGGAAGAAAGCTGAAAATGTAGAGAAGCCTTCATTTGGTGCAGGTGGCTGGATGATGGCTGTAGGAACGACAATGATACTTCCTCATGTAAGCTTTTTGTTGTTGTTTTGTTTTTTGATACAGGGTAGTGAGACTGACCTGGAACTCACTATGTAGCTCAGGCTGGTCTTGAACTCACAGCTATCCTCCTGCCTCAGCCTCCTGAGTGCTGGGATTACAGGCGTGCGCCCACACGCCCGGCCTACGTAAGCTTTTTGGGGTGACTGCAAGTCCAAATGAAAAAGCAGCAGAGAAATTTCCCCATGTAAAGAAAAGAACGATGGGCTGGGGTTCTGCCACCTGCTCAGTGGTTCTGCCACCTGCCTTGAAAGTGCAAGGTCCCGAGTTTGATCCCCAGTACCAAAAAAAGAAAGAAACTCTACTGAATAGTCTATAATTTAATGAGATTGATTTCTATTAGAAGTGAACATTTCTGCCACGCATCATGACTCGTTCTTATAATGCTAGCGTTTAGGAGGCTGAGGCAGGAAGATTGGGAATTCCAGGTGAGCCTGAGATACAGTGAGACACCATTACAAAAAATTGAATGTTTCCAAAGATCTACTTTTTGAGGAGGGAGGGCCAAGTTCAAGGCATAGACTATAAGTGATGGCCTAATAGAGACTAGGTAAAAATGCAAGCGTAAACTGAAGAGAATTCCTCTTATAAGACCTCCACTTCCAAAGTGGCATAGATTTCATTATTTTTGTTTTCAAGTTGTGTAGGTTTTGAATGTCCTGCTTCAAGAGTAAAATTCATGTTCTTTTGCTAGTGAACAATTTGGCAGAGCCCAAGATTTTCCAAAGTGGTTTTCTTGTTTGTTTTTGAGACAAGGTCTTGCTATGTATTTTAAGTTGGCCTTAAATTCACTGTATAACCCAGGACAGCTTCAAACTGTTGTCAATCTTCCTGCCTCAGCCTCCGAGTACTGGGGTGATAGGTGTGCACCACTATACCTGGCTTCAAGACCTTCCACATGACATAATAGCAGATACTATGGCTCCTGTTTCTATCCTAGGCCTTATCCTCTCCATTTTTATGTCCTTATTCCTGGTTTCCCTGTGCATTTCACTTTTTAGTTTCACCGATTCCTTGGTGTCTTTCTCAGCTGAGATTTTGTCACGGACAGTGTGTGAGCCACTTCTGGGCCCTTGCCGGACAAAGCCTGGTAATGACCTCTCCTTTTGGGGCAGTAAGTGGTGGGACTTTATGGTCCTATAGATCCCACAAGCCCCCTGTTCTCCTGCAGGAAACACTCGGGCCCTAAGAAGGTGTGTGAAGCTAACTGTAGCTCTAGAGCCTGCTAACTGTGAATTCCCCCCTCACTTGGACATCTACATGGAAGAACCACACTTTCCTCTTCCTCTAGGGCTCCTGCCAGGAGCTCAGGTCCACTTTAGCCAGCTGGAGAAGAAGATTTCCAGGTGAAGATCTGTGTCATGTGGCCGTACCTCCTTTCCATGCCAGGGCACTTCTTTTGAATGTTCACACCCACATAACTATGCTGCAACAACACCTCTTTGCTTACACTTTTCTTTTCTTTTCTTTTCTTTTCTTTTCTTTTCTTTTCTTTTCTTTTCTTTTCTTTTCTTTTCTTTTCTTTTCTTTTCTTTCTTTCTTTCTTTCTTTTTTCTTTCTTTCTCTTTCTCTCTCTCTCTCCCCCTCCCTCTCTCTCTCTCTCTCTCTCTCTCTCTCTCTCTCTCTCTCTCTTTCTTTCTTTCTTTCTTTCTTTTTCTTTTTTTTCCCCACTACTGAGGAGTGAACCAATGGCCTTTGCACTGAGCTGTACACCCAGCCCGTTTAAACAGGCTCTTGGATCTCAGACATTGATAAATTGCCCATGTTGAGCTCAGACTTGCAATTATTCTCTCAGTCTCCCAGAATATTGGGATTACATACCTGCTTCTTTACTTACTTTCAGTTTGTTAGTTTTCGTATATGCCCTCTCCCCTGCTGAGATGTTGCACACCAGTCCTTTTCTTATTCTTCCCCCAGCTTTGGTAAAGCTGGGGCCAGGGTCTGTCCTTAGGTGTGAGGGGAGAGCCAACCCTGTCAAGCATGATCTGAGTGCACCTGCTACCCCAGTCTGACTGCTTTCTTTTCCTCACTACTGTTCTTCCCCTCACAGATCCTACAATGTTTACTGTTGTTTCCAGTCATCCACTTTTGTGCAGGTCCTGAGTTTTCCCCCAGAGAACACAGTCAGGTCAGTACCTAGTCCCTGATCCCTAAACTTCATGGTATCACACCCACATCTCACTCACTCATGTCCCTGGCTCTGGGGCTTTTAGCATAATTAGAGTTCTCCAATCCCAGAAGAGTGTTGGTCAGGATTTCCTCTGCTCTAAATAAAAAATGCCTAATATGTGTCATTTTACCCAGAAATAGTTAATGTTCTAGGCTTTTGAATGCTTTTCAGTCTAAAAAGCAAATGTCTCTTGGTGAACATCTTGGTGTTGAAGTCTGAGAAGTAAATGATGATTATTTGCTAAAATGCTCAGGATGGTCTTCATGATCATCCTACCTTAGCCTCCCAAGCCACTGGGATTGCAAGAATGTGCCAGTGCCTCCAGCTTTCTTCCTGTTTCTTAACCCTTGTATCTCTCTGTTTCTCCTTAGTGTTCCCCTGCCCCACATCTACCTGGCTGAACTTCTACTAGGTGGACGGGCCCCTTTCCGGGCTACTGCCTCTTGCCACGTGGTTTCTGTCTTCAGCCTTCAGCTCCTATGGGTGTGTGCTCATTGTAGTAGTATCTGTTCCCAGGTACGAGAAGGGTCAAGGTAAGCTGGGTGTGTCGTGCCAGAGGGTTGTGATGAAACCCATCAGACTTTTCAACCCTGTTTTCATCCCAGGGAAGGTGCACTCGTCAGGACTCCACTTGCCCCACTCAGACATCAGTAAGCCAGGCCAGCATCAGGTAGGAGCACCCATTACCCTATTTAACTCCTTGTTGGACAAGCTTCATCTGTCTGTGTTAGCATAATTCCTGGCTTGCTGGAATTGCTTAATGAATATTTTTGAATGAATGAGGGTTTTGTGAGCTAAAACCTGGAAATGGTGAGAAGAGGCATGTTGGGTTCAGGAGATTGGCAACCTGAGTTTGCTGTGGAAATTTTGCCTCCTCTCTCTTCCCTTAGGCTTCTGGTAGAGGATGGGACTGCTGAAGCCATGGTGGCCTGTAAAAATCATCATGTGGCAGAAGCACTAGGGCTGTGTCCTAGTGAGTGGACCTCACTCTTAGAGTGTGCCCGAGGGCCAGGGAGAGTGGCCTTGCAGTTTACACGGCCTGGAGCCCAACTGGAGGTGAGATGTGACCAAGAGGTAGGTTATCCTTGGATTGGACTGAAGTTTGGAAGCTTGGGCTCTGATTAATTTTGTTTCCCTTTCTAGTCTTCAGCCAAGATGGGTGAGCCTTTGACACTCTTCCTAAGGACACTTTGTACTAGTCCTTCCGTCCTTCGCCCTATTGTGCTTTCTTTTGAGCTTGAGAAGAAACCCTGTAATATCACCCCATTAGGTAAGGCTGGTACACATAGATGGGTTCCTGGGAGGAAGAGGGATGAGGCATTGATAGGAAATTTCTGGAGTTGGGTAGGAGAATGGTGAGTGTAAACTAAAACCTACATGTGTGGGGAATGCTTTTCCTCTCTTCCCATTTCAGAACCTCCACGGCTACAGCGGTTCCAGTGTGGAGAGCTCCCTCTCTTGACAAAAATGAATCCCAGGCTCCAACTGGCGTGTCTTTCTATTCAGGAGCCAGAGCACCCCAGCTCGCTGGGGACTTTTGCTTCCTCCTGTTGACCTGAGTTGCAAAGATGGCCTGGAAGTTCTTTCTCCCTTCCTGGGACCCTTGAGGCCTAGGTTCCAGCTCCATCCTCTGTGGCACCTTCTCTTTCTCTCACTGATCCTGGACCCCATATCTTTTGGTTCTCAAATTGCTACCCTCCTGTAACTTACTCTGCTGCCGGGCTTCCTGGGGTTGGTGTGGGAACAGCAAATCATGGCAGTTGATATTTCCTCTGATTGGGGTCAAGTCACCTACACTCACAGGTGGCAGTAAGCAGCTAGATTCTGCCTTTATGCCAGCAACCAGCAGAGCCAAAGACTTGCCCCTCGTGAGGGTGCTGGTCACAGGCCTTTTGGCCTCCAATAAACCTCTCTGGGGATTTTTCTGTATGCTTATCTCTGGGGTGCCACATTTCCAGGCCCTGGCCTACTCACCATCATTTCAGCCATTTGTTTACCACTGATACAAAAAGTGCAAAGTGGTTTGGAGAGGAGCTGCTGGTCCAGCAGAGAAGTAAACCAGTCAGGTCCCCCAGGAAATAAATTGAATCAGGTGAAAACAAGGGCATGGTGATCTCAGTCGGCAAAATGTGGCCTGGGATTAATTATGAGAGACTAGAGGTGTTGGAAGGATGGAGTGGGTGTGGCAACGCCAAGCTCTTGGAGCATGAGAGGAAGCTCTACTGTTAGGACCCCAGTGGAAAAGTCAGCACTATGCGTTTCTGCAGGGCGAGGCCTAAGGTAGATCCGCTCAGATGTCGGTAGACCAGGCCGGCGTCAGATGGGCGCCATGAGACCACCGGAATCACAACGCACCGAGGGCTTGTAGAATTTGGCCGGGGTGGGGGATGGGAGGAGCTGTGTGTGTGTATTTTCGTTTATCTTCTAAGAGCTGCTCACTAGATGGAGACATAGAACTAAGTTACACCTCTTAAAACTGCTTAGCATTTCCTCTTGGCAGTTCCGGTTTGATTTCAGGTTGAGAAACGATTTCACGTGCTTGGTGTGAGCATGTGCCTGTACTTTAGGAATACCTTATATAGAGATAGAAGTACTCACTTTTAGAGCTGGCCGGTTAGCTCAGTTGGTTAGAGCGTGGTGCTAATAACGCCAAGGTCGCGGGTTCGATCCCCGTACGGGCCAGAGGCTTATTTACTTATTTTAAACTTTGCCTCTGCTATAAGGTTCCAGTTTGGTTTGGTTTGGTTTGGTTTGGTTTGGTTTGAATCCCGAAGCGTTTTGATTACGAAAGGGTACACCTCAAACCCGGGTTTGTCTTAACTCTCCAAAGCTAGTAAAGGAAGAACCCGGTGGGCTGGAGCGGAGAATCAGACTCTTATCACCACTTCATCTTTCCCGGAGGCTGTTGCTGGAGGTCGGTGGAAAAATGGGGACGATCGGGAAAGAGTTTTAGAAAGACAGAGCTATGAGCCAATATTCACTTTCGATTCATCGAGTAATGTCCCGGTTCATAAAAGGGGTTGTAGGCAAAAGCGCCAAAGAAAGATGTAAGATAAAGGTATTTTTTTCAGAGTGGGGTAGTCGTGGCCGAGTGGTTAAGGCGATGGACTAGAAATCCATTGGGGTCTCCCCGCGCAGGTTCGAATCCTGCCGACTACGAGTTATTTTTCTTCTCCGTTGTATACCTCACTATTCTTGTATATACCCTTTTTCAAGAGGCAGACCCGTCGCCATGCTCCAAATCCCCTCGTCTCAGAGCAATCGAGTTGTCGACCATGAATCTAGTTTTGAGAAATTTCATTCATTTCCTTCAATAGTAGGGAATCTCCGGAATCCAGGGTTAGCTGGTTTATGCAAAATTCACTTAATTTGCTTTAAATCCCGGACTCCAAGTATTTTCCTGTAGGGCTTCCTGGGAAAAACCTTTCTAGTGTTGGCGCCGTGGCTTAGTTGGTTAAAGCGCCTGTCTAGTAAACAGGAGATCCTGGGTTCAAATCCCAGCGGTGCCTTTATTAATCCTAGACCAGTAGTTTGTGTTACTTTTTGGACAAAATTCAATACCCCCAGGATCAATCTATTGTTTTTGTATGACAGTACACAAGGGGGTTAATTCCACTAAAAACACCAAGTGTCCCATTGAGAAAAGCTGCCAATCCTGGGAGATCAAAGCAGAAATCCTGCTCAGGCCTGCACTGTAATTTGCCTAGCAGATGCCACAGTCCACTGGCGCTGTAGGAGGTAGTAGTCAACTTAGCTACCCACTCTCAGCTACGCTACCTTTCAGGGATTGCTTCCTCTACCCCGTGACGTTTTCTATAACCCGAGCCACTTTGATTGGGGGGGGGTCTTCGTTATGTCTTTTGGTTTGGGGCCTCTAATCTTATATTTTCTATGTATAATATAATATAATCGTATTATTATAATTATATCATATTATATTGTAATCTTATATAAAATAATATAATCTTATGTTTTCTATGTATAATAAAAACATGCACATTTATGTTTTTTTCATATATTTTTAAAATGTGGTGCAGCTTCTAGGTACAGTCTAGAACCCAACCTTTCACGTGTAGGGCAGCAGGGTAGGAGCCTGCAGGACTGACTGAGTAGTCAGCTGGCCTGGCGCTATCAGGTTTCTTGCAAGAAGGCTCTTAAGATCTGGGACCAGGTGAACAGGAAGTAGAAGAGAGCACAGGACATAAGGGGTCTTCAGAGAATCTGGTGTGAATCGGCTACCCCAAAGCCGAGGTGATGGAGGAAGTGCTTTGAGACACCTGAATAAAAGCTTAAAGGGCTTGATCTCTTCAGGTCAAACAAGGGCTGAACCCTGTACATTAGCCTTTCTCAGGGCTTCTGGGAAGACACAATCAAAACAACCCATGCTAGTTGCTGGACAGGGTCCTGTGAGGACATGGAAAAGAGAAGGGAACCTCATCCATGTGAGACTGAAGGCTGGTCATGGGAGGTTTCCTACAGCAGGTGAGCCAAATCTGAAAAAACAAGCAGAAATTTGCTGTGTTCTATTAAACACCTGCTGTGTGACCGACAATGTCATGGGCCCTGGGAATATAGCAGTAAACAAATAGATGAAAAAGCCTGCCCTGCTGGAGTTTATAAGGGAAGGAGAATGGAGACATAAATACAATCAAAATGTTTAAATTCTAAAACTATACTAGATAAATTATAAACTTACCCTAGATAAATGTTATAATCAGCATGAGGGATGGGGAGGACGGGTTGGTTCTAGAGATATCAACAGCTTGCACCATATTGTGGGATGAGATGAATTTTTCCTTTTTTTGTGGGGGGTGTTTTTTGAGACAGGCCCTCACTATGTAGTTGAGGCTGACCTGGAACTCACTGTGCAGCCTAGGCTGGTCTCAAACTCACAGCAATCCTCCTGCCTCAGCCTCCTGAGTGCTGGGATTACAGGTGTGTGCCACCATGCCCAGCTGAATTTAATTTTTAAGGACCGATGAAACATCTCTCCATGCAGTTCAGGCTGGCCTTGAACTCACTATGTAGCCTGGGCTGACCTCAAACTTGCAGCCGTCCACCTGCTTCCACCTCCTGAGTGCTGGGATTACAGGTGTGTGCCACCTGTAATTCATAAGATAAATTTAAGACATTTAGATTTTTTTTTAGAGGCCTCAATAACTAACAGAATGTAGAATCTGAAGAGAAAAAAATTTTTCAGGAAGGCACATGGTGCACAGCAAAAGAAACGTACCAATAGAGTGAGAAAACAACACATAGGATGAGAGTTTTTTACTAGATAGTCCTCAGTGGAAGGACTAACATCTAGAATATAGAACTCAAAACAAAACAAAACAAAAAAAGCAGACTCCTCCCAAATTTAAAGACCCAATCTAAAAATAGGCATTTGAAATGAATGGACACTTCTCAGATGAAGTGGGGAACACTGAACAAATATATGGAAAAAATATTCAACACAACTGGTCATTCAAGAAATGCAAATTAAAACAACATTGAGATTCTATCTCATTCCAGAACGAATGTCAAGCAAGAAATCAACCAATAACAAATGCTGGTGAGGTTGTGGGTGGAAGGGAACCCTTCTCCATTTTTGGTGGGAGTGCAGACCACAGTGGAAATCAGTGTGGAGATTCCTCAAAATACTAGAACTAGAGGTTCCTTTTGACCCAGCTGTCCCCCTCCTAGGTATCTTATTGAAAGCGTCATCCCACATTGACTTTTGCATACCCGGGCTTATAGCAGCACAACTTATGATAGCTAAATTTTGTTTTTGTTTTTTTTGGTACCAGGGATCAAACTCAGGTCCCTGCTCTTGAAATCAGGCACCGGAACCACTGAACTAAATCCTGGGCCCTATAATAGCTAAATTTTGGAAACACCCCATGTGCCCATCAATAAATGAATGGATAGAGAACGTGTATTTATATACAATGAAGCACTACTCTGCCGTAAAGAAGGATAAATTTGGGTCATTTGTAGGAAAATAGATGCACCTCAAGACCATAATCTGAAGGGATCTTAAATTTAAATATTGCATTGTTTGGGCCAGGGATTTAGCTTGGTGGCACCACACCTGCCTAGTTCAAGGTCCTGAGTTCAATCCCTGGTACAAAAAAAAAAAAGCATTGTTTCTCTTGTGTGACAAACCCAAAGGGTGAATAAGGAGCATACTGGGAAGTAGGAAGAACATGTTCAAATGGCAAGGGAAGGAAAGTAAAAGGAAACAAAAGAACAGAGGTGGGAGGGGAGTAGAAGGAAGGTGAGAAGGGGAAGAGAGAATCAAGACATATCATGTACAGGTAGGTACCAATTCCCTGTGATGCATGTGATCAATATGTCTGACAAATACATACTAATTGAAAATAAAGTTAAGGGCAAGTGCAGGGACTCCAGTTTGATCCCGTTACCAAAACAAAACAACAAATAAATAAAGTTTAAAATTTTTTAAAAATAAAAATAAGGTTTTAAAAAAAAAGGAGAAGGTACTTGGGAGACCAAGGCAGGAAAATGGCAAGGCCATGTCTAAAAAAAAAAAAAAAAAAAAAAACAAAAACATTGAAAAAAAAAAAAAAAAAAAAAAAAAATCAAAACACTGACAACAAAAAATAAACTTCAGGGGTGTGCCCAGATTCTCTCTTAGGGGAAATGCTAGGGGTAAGAGGGCTGCCAGCATCTCAAATTTACCCTTTTCTATTTCCTACCCCACTTTCTCTCCAGTCTCAACTGTGATTGCCCAAAATTAAATCTCAGAACTGCAGCAGTGTAATGAATTTGTGCCAGGGACCAACTCTGGACCTGGCATTTGTGAAGCAGGTGGCAGCATCACTGAGCTAAATCCCTGGCCCTTGTTATTTTTTTTAATTCATTGTTTATTGGTACATTTTAGGTATACAATACAATGACATTCATCATTGGGAACTTGAACCTTAGTTCTTATTTTTTCCCCATTCCCCTGCTCTACCTTCAACCCTTCTACCCTTCCCTGTTTACAAAGACTTTGTTTCCATTTTTTCCTTTTCTCATATTTTTCCTTTCCCTTCTTTCATTTCCCCTACTCTTCCCAGTTCCCCCTTCCGCTCTAGACCTTCTCTTCCTATTTTACACCATCTATTGTCCTTTTTTTTTTTTTTGAGGCAGGGTCTCACTATGTAGTTGAGACTGACCTGGAATTCACTATGCAGCCAGGGCTGTCTTGAACTCACGGCAATCCTCCTGCCTCAGCCTCCGGAGTGCTGGGATTACCCAATAGAGTCACCATGCCCGGCTCTATTGTACATTTTGATCCTTATTTACACTTTCAGTTTCTCACACCAGAGCAGTGTAAAGATATTGATATCTGTTAAAATGTGAAATATTTTCACCAAAGTCAACACCATACTTTCTGGATTCACTCCTTGGTATCCATTGAATTTTCCTAGAAAGAAAGGACATAATTTCATCATGGCTATAAAAGATTTAGCCCACCCCTACTCCCTATCCCCACCTGGGGCCAGGTGAGAGAGAGACACAACTGGAAGACTGGGAGCCCAAGACGAGAGAAACAAATTCAAAGTGGGCTGAAGGAGAAGGTGCCAAGAGATCAGCCCTAAGAACCTCTTATCCATCTGAAATATTTGTGACACTCATGGGAAAGGCCAGATTCTCCTCTGTTCCCCACCAATTGGCTAGGGACATCTGAGATGAGAAGAAAACAAGAGTCCCTTGAAATCCTCCCCATCATAGTATCTGTAGTTTGGGCATTAGGAAGGGTCTGATGCCACAAACTACATGACTCTCCTATGGATCAAGATGGTTCATTCAGCCCAGGACAGGGTCCCTGCCAGTCAGAGACCTGCTGGGAGGACTACCTGGGAGCAGGCTACCATTTGAGTCCATCTAGCCTTAAACTCACTATGTAGCCCAGGCTGGCTTCATAGCAATCCTCCTGGTGCTGGCATTATAAGTGTGCACCACCACACCAAGCTCCACCAAATCTTTTGGACTTTTGGCAAGTACAAGTGTGATAAGTATTCTCAGAGTTTAGAGATTTTCTGAGCAGCTCAGGGGACACTTAGGGCCTCAAAACTAGATCTACTGGTCTAGGACTACACTCATTTGACCAAATGGCCACTCCCTCACCTTCTGATGTTCTCAGGCAACATGTAGGAAGGTCTCCTGAGCCATTTTAGAGGGAACTGGGGAGCTGAGGCCAGACTGAACCCTGGTGCCAGTGTCCACAGAGTTGTCAGGCATCAGGGACCATCTTGATTGGCCTGGCCTGGTGCCCAACTCTACTCTGCAGAAGAAGCAGAGTCCCTCCTCTACCTTATCAGCCTGGCGGCTCAGTAACATCTCCTTGAGTTTTTGTGTTGTCCTCCACACCACACACACACAGGAATCATCACCTTTGTCTTTTTAGCTGGGTGCTGTCAAGCAGTGTGGGGACACGATAGGCTATTGAAGCCCCTGCCGGTTACCCCAGTGAAATAGGTGCAGGGACGGTTAGAGGGGTGGTGTTCACCTAGGGACTTCACGACTCTGTTCCCAGACCCTGAGATCCGGCCTATTCGCGGCTTGTTTCAAAGCTCTTCACCGCGAGGCTGGGTCCGAAGGCTGAGAGCGGGAAGGTTGGAGACCCCAGGTTAAGGGATGACAGGGAGTTGGTGACCGAAAAGAGCAGGAACCTGGAAACTCAAGGCAGTCGAAAAAGGTGGAGTGGGGGCAGACACAGACCACCCCCTCCCACTTCCTCGACTTTATTTCTCGCAAGGAGTTGGAGTTCTAGGGATAGCAGCCCAGAGATTCCTAGATACATGCTCCAGAGTATAGCATTCCGCTATGAGGAATATGGTTCCTGAAAAGCTCCCGGAAGATTCCGCCAATCAGGACCCCGGCAAATGCCGTACGACCTCTAAGGGCGTTCGCGGCCTTTTTCGCGCGTCGGCTCGTTGGTCTAGGGGTATGATTCTCGCTTCGGGTGCGAGAGGTCCCGGGTTCAAATCCCGGACGAGCCCAAAGCTTATTTTGCTGACCCCGAGTTGCAATAGTATGAGTTAACAGTGGCGTGGGAAGCTGGAAGAGAAAAAGATCAGTGTCATTAGCTATCTTTTATTCTGAATGGACGCTCCGGTGTCGAAAACAAGCTCCGTGAGCAGTCTTGCTTGGGCTTCTAGAGAAAGCAGTCTTCAGAAAGACTCATTTTCTGATCTCCGCAGCCCTGCTTGGCGCCTTGCCTTAGCCCCCAGAGTGGTTCAGCTGTGATTGATGCTCGTCAACCTCCAGCTGTGGGTGACAGGAGATGGTGGAAGCGGACTGAAGTTATTTGGGCTGTACCTAGAGAGCAAAAGACTCAGAAACCCGGGACTCTGCGGCCTCCGACGTCGCCTGTCTCAGTTACTCCTCCTTTCTGCCTTTCTGGGAATTTATGTTTAGTTACTGTCTAAAATGTACACAAGTTTCTAGATAGCACGTCTCAGTGGTTGGAAAGAAAATCCTGGAGGCACACCAAGCACCAGCTACCGTACATCAGCCACATCAAGGATCCGGAGAAACAGAGTCTCAGCTCGTTCCTCGTTAGTATAGTGGTGAGTATCCCCGCCTGTCACGCGGGAGACCGGGGTTCGATTCCCCGACGGGGAGGAGTATGTTGTTACTTTTCCACTTCTATAGAAATCCCTTCAAATCCTGCTTTTTTATTGAACACCTGAGACCTTGAGGAGAGAATCGAGAGAAAAGGTGTATTTTGTCCTGAACCTCGAGATAGTACTGTATGTAAGTTGCAATTTAAGCTTGCAGCTACAATACCCATTATTCTCCCCAATCAATCTTTCTACTTGGAAGTGTTCGTGGACGAAACCTAAAAAACATGGATGAACCAACACCCCAAGTAATTCGCGCTAACACTACCTCCTTGCGTTTGCGCCTCTTCTGACAGCGTGAGCGTTTCCAGTCTCAGCCTGCAGCTTTTTTCCCCTGCCTCGCCACGTCCCCAACTTCCGTCCCCGTATCGAAGCTAGGTTTGGGGGACTCCTTCCGCCTCCTGCCTGTGGATTCGCACCGCTATCCGCGAAAACTCTGACGTACTGGTCGGAAATCAGCGCGGGATACGACCATCCGGAGCAGGACGACGGGATCTGGGACCCGGGGGGAAGAGCAAAACCGGTCTCCTAGGAGCAGAGGTTTCCGCGTGACAGGCTTCAACCCACCAAACTGGGGTTCGAGGAACAAGAGGGAAAAACACAGTTTAGAATTTTAAAATATACTGCGTTGGCCGGGAATCGAACCCGGGTCAACTGCTTGGAAGGCAGCTATGCTCACCACTATACCACCAACGCCGGTAGGAGAAGAAAGATTCCCTCCACTTATTCAAGGCGGATATTTGGTGGCATACCCTCCGTTCAGGCAAAGGTCATTAAGCAAGCTGAGGCAGAGGCTCTGACTGTGGTTTGCAAGGCGCGAAGGTGTGAGCAGGGCTGGGCTCCCGCCGTCTCTATAAACGCTGCTCACCCCGCCTGACAGTATCAGATCATACCCAGTCTACGGATAAGGAAACGAAGGTCCAGAGAAGCTTAATAAGGCGACTGAATCATCGGTCAAGCTGAGGCTAAGTGTAAGATTTATTTAGCAGGCGAGGACAACCGTGACACGAAGATGACATCCTTCCCAAGAAGTTAAAACACAGAAATCGCTTCTCTATTGAATGAACTGACAAGGTTAAATAATTGGTCTTTAAGTCAAATGTACCTAAGTATAATTTGCATCTTTTCGTAGTTTACCAAGAACAGGAATTTAATTCCTTGGGCATGCGCGAGCAATTTCGCCCTTCCGAAGACTCCAGAGGCGGGGCCCGAGGGAAAGCTCCGCCCCTCATTGCTGACGATACAGCTGTTCACGAAATCCGGCCAACAGCAAGTTTGGGTAGGCCTCGTGGCGCAACGGTAGCGCGTCTGACTCCAGATCAGAAGGTTGCGTGTTCAAATCACGTCGGGGTCAAAACCTGTGTTTCTTTTCTATTTACTTCACAACTATGCAGGTGCCATTTATTTAAACCATAGTAGAGTCTATTCGTTAATTTAAGTTTTACATACAAAAAATTTTTACAAAACATCAAATATAAATAACCTGAAATTATAACAATACACAAAAATTGACTTCTTACATAGACATATCAGTCTGTAAAAACTGAAAATCTGAGTAAACTAACATTATTTTACATTAATATAAGTAGGGCCATTTAACATTTTAAAATAGGTTTTAATGCATAGCACTTGATATTTCTTTGAATCTATCTGTTAAGAATATGAAAATGGTTAGATCAAACCTAAACGTAATTCTTCTGCTAACCATAAATAAAGGCATAATATTTATAAGCAGATATCAACTTTACTAAACCACGATATTTTAAAACTATTAAATGATACCTGGGATATTTACATTTAAAAGGCAACATGCATTGTGTTGTTTTATCTCATAACTGGTTATGCACACAGTTTCTTCAAAGGGTTTAAAAACTATATTTCTACTTTCAGTATGGCATTCTGCAATGTTCCTAATAACTCTAGTGCAACGAATGCCTTCAAAGGGAGCAGAATCACTTTTAAGTTACCAGTGTCAACATTTTCTGTTTGAAACAAAGGACACAACAAATGATCTGGTTGTGCCAGATGAGCCGACAGAGTAAGGGGGTTTTTTGTTCAATCTAATGACGTGACATCATCAAGCTCTTTCCTTAGTTCCAAACAAGACCTTTTTGCCTTGATATTCTCTCTCTTGTCTAATTTATCTTGTCTCCATTGTCAGCATTATTTAAAGGACCTTCTTTATCTGAGTCAACTATAAGCATATCATCTTGCTCTTGTGTTGTGGAGGTGGAAGGCTGGCTCCATCACTGCTGCCATTGGTTATGCTTTTGGAGGCATTTTCAGCTTGTTTGGACCCTACTTTATCTGGGGCATCACCCACAGCTTTAAATTCGACATCCTTCCCTAGGTCTTCACTGTAAAGGATGTTGATATCAGTAAAGTATAGTCCTGAAGGAAATCACCTACTTCAATCCAGCTGCCATTTCTAATTCCAAATCCTGACAGCTTATGATTATTAGCTTCTGACTTACTTCTGAAAATGTTAGGATTGTTCCTTTCCCATCTTCAATTTGAAGACTGGGTGCAACCATAGCAAATTTCTCTTTTACCATCTTATCTTATAAAGTGAGAACAGTCACCTTATGGACATTCAGCCATACAGTCACCTCTGGCTTGCTGGCACATACTTGACAATTGGGGCTAGGAAGATCCGGTGAGCAAGGCGCAAGAAGCTTCTTTCTCAGGTTTGGTTACTTATTCAAAAAAACTATTCTACATTGATTTATTTTTCCTGATAAAATCTTTAATCTTTCCAATACTATCAACCCAACAATCACTGCATTAGTAGTAGCAATATCAGGAATGATGTTCCCTGCCATTGATTTTATGTCAGATCTGCTCTTCATATTCATACTGAAAATATGCATCATAGAAAAAAGAAAATATGCCTCCTGAGGTTTGCTGCAGAGGTGACAAAATCCATCACAGATGTGTCATCCTTATCCCATATGAGCTCAGCTCCATCCCCCTTTTCAGCTAAATGAACTCTCAAAGTCTCAGTGCTCTTTGAAAAGCAGCTCTTCACATCTAGAACCTGCTGGTCTTTCAGACCTAACTGGGGTTCATTTTGTTGATCCAATGTCTTGGTTTCCTCTCCTTGACTTTGTACTTCACCCCAGTCCAATGTACTGAAGGTTTCCTTTTCCACCAATCTGTTATTGTCAATAGATACCTGAATCATCCTTTTAAAAACTTAAAAAAAAAAAAAAAAAAAAAAAAAAAAAAAAAAAAAAA